ATCACCCACTGCTTATCCTGTGCACCTGCTTCTATGTCTGGTGGATGGAGGAACTCTACCAAGGACACATAGCCCATCTCCAGGATGACCCCATCCTCTTGGGCCACAGGGCAGGCCAGACTCAACAAATCCCCGCCATGGCAGGTTACCTACCACCCTGTTCTGGGAAATGTTTGATCTGAGGTTAGTCTCCAGCCTCCTTATCTCTGGGCACTAACAACTGTGCACCTCCTCTGTGGGCCTGGCGGGAGAAGGCAACTGGGACCCTGTGCTCCCTGTACAGCCTAGTACAGGAATGGGGAGGGGGACCCAAGTCTTTAAGACTTGCTGTATATCTCCATGAAGGAGTTGATTCATAAAGCACCGAGGGAAGGCAGCTCCCAGCCTTCCTGGCAAGCCCAGCACAAACTCACAACTTCTCAGGCCAACTAAATTTCAGAACGAAGGAATTGAAGGTAAGTAGATCTGGTAGAGCTGGGCCTACAGCTGGCCAGCACAGCTTCCTCATTTGCACAGAAGACAGGCCCAGATGAGACGAATCAGTGGTGCTAGGGATCAGAATCGCCATTACCTTTGGGTGTAGAGTATTGACCAAGAGGAGGAATGAGGAAAGCCCAGTGGGATGACAGGCTCAATCTGGATGCTGCCTACGTGGTTGCCTGAAAATATGGAAATTCACTGAACACTTCAGATATATGTACTTTAGTGTACAATCATGTCTCAATAAAAGGATAAAACAAAGGCTCAGAGAGGATTAAGGTGACATTACAAATGTGTGGCAAGACCAAGCCTAGAACTCCGGATTCCCGAAGCCCCCCTTTCCATTATTCCACTGTATTTTTGCTGCCACAGAAACTCAGTGATGCTCCATTAGTCTAGGGGTAGGCTTTTACCAGGGCAGGAATCCATAGCACATGGCCCACGAGGTCAAGGAAAGTCAGTCCAGTGTGGGCTGGAGTTAGAATCTTGAAGGTATTTATACTGAGCAAGGCTTAATAAGCAAAAGCAATAGTAATAGTATAGCACTATCGCAACATTAACATCTAATATTTATTGAGTGCTTATTATATACCATGCACTATTTAAAACATTTTTTTAATGTTTATTATCTTTGAGAGAGAGCGAGAGCGAGAGAGCAAGCAGGGAAGGGGCACAGAGAGAGGGAGACACAGAATCTGAAGCAGGCTCCAGGCTCTGAGCTCCCAGCACAGAGCCCGATGAGGTGCTCAAACTCACAGACCGTGAGATCATGACCTGAACTGTAGTCGGCCGCCCAACCGACTGAGCCATCCAGATGCCCCTACCAGACACTATTTTAAATACATGTATTAAATCTTTACAACAACCTTGATGGTATATACCACTATGAATCCATATTTTACAAAAATACAATAGGCCCACCTTTAAAAACGTGCCCATTTAAAAATGTGACAACTAGAGAGCATTGAAGCTGATATTTGATTCCACACGACCTGATTCCATAATCCATGCTCTTAGCCACAACACAGACTGCCCTATATTGAACCAGCAGCAGCTAGTAGACTGGCAGCCTTTGCCCAAACTGACATCTGCTATCCCACAGAGAAAACACTCAACATTTGTCCAATGATCCAGATAAGCAACAATCCTGCAGATTTCCATGTAGACTTGTTAAAAGCAAGTTCCTTCATTGTCTCCTGGACTGCATGTATTAAAAAGCAGACAAGGAATTGACAAAAAGACAAAACTACTTGTGACCTGGCCATGTTGGCCCATACTCAAGAATAACCTGGGGGAATTTCTGAGCTGAAAACTCCAGTGTCCAACTGCATTAACGATCAGAGAAATGCAAATTAAAACCATGGTGTGATACTATACACCTGCCACAATGTCTATAATTTAAAAAGACAGGTAATACCAAGTGTTGGCAAGGATGTGGAACAACTAGATAACATGTGGTTGGCACGAGTGAAAATTGAACTAATTAATTTGGAAATCTGTTTGACAGTATATTGGGTTGGCTTGGGTTGCCACCACAAAGTATCACAGGCTGGGTGGCTAAAATAACAGAAAGTCATTTTCCCACAGTTTTGAAGGCTGGGAAGTCCAAGATCTAAGTGCTGGTGCCTTCAGGTTCCAGGGAGAGCTCTCTTGCTAGCTTGCTAACCACCTTCTTGCTGTGTTGTCACATGGCAGAGACAGAAAGATGAAGAGAGAGAGAGCGAGAAACTTTGTAGTGTCTCTTCTTACAAGGACACTAATTCTATAAGATCAGGGATCTACCTTTATAACCTTATTTAACCTTAATTGCTTCCTTGCTCCAAATACAGTCAGGGTTAGTGATTCAACATATGAATTTGGGGGTGACACAATTCAGTCCATAGCATTCTTCCCCTGCCCCCCCAAGTTCATTTCTTCTCCCAAGCACAATGCATTTGTTTCACCCCAACAGCCCCTGAAATCTTAAGTCATTCGAGCATCAACTCTAGAGTCCAAATGTCATCAAAGTATCATCGAAATCAGATGGGCATGAGGCTCAAAGTGTGATTTATTCCAAGGCAAAACTTCTCTCCAGCTGAGAAACTGTGATATCAGAGAAGTTATGTGCTTCTAAAATATGGTGGCTGGGCAAACACCGGTTAGACAAGTGTGTTCCAGAAGGGGGAAATTGGAAGGAAGAGGTGATGGATCCCAAATGAGTCCAAAACCCAGCAAGGCTAATTCCATTTAATCTCAAGCCTTGAGAACGATCCTCTTTGTCTTGATGCTCTTCCCTCCAGGCTCACTGGGGTGGCATCACCCTATGGCTCTGTGGAGTTGCCTGACCCTTTGGCCCTCTGGGGTGGCCCTGCCCAAGCCACTCATTGCTTTGACCCTACCCCTGAGGTCCTGGGAAGGGTCATCCTGGACCACTGAAACCAGAGAGGTAGGCCTGCCCTTTGAGGTGACAGCCTTGCCCCTGGGTCTGTTGGTGGGTCTGGCCTTCAGCATCTTTCTTCTCTTGAGGAATAGTGCATGTTCACAGATGAACAGCTCTATGCTCCTGCCTTGTGAAATCTAAGAAACCCATCAGCCTGCCTTCATTCTGTCCTCTCTTCAGGGGAGGCTGCCAGTGTCTCTGCTGGTATAAGCTCATCTCTATTTATGGCTTCTGCTGCTGTGATAGCCGATTGAGTCCACGAGTCCTACCATGGTCTCTTAAACAGTTGTTCAGTCACACTCAGGGTTCTCTTCAGAACATGCCATATGGACAGGATGAGAATTTTCCAAATCTTTGAGGTTAAATGGGGTCATAAGGGTCAAGCCCTGATCTAATGGGATTAGTGTCCCTTCAAGAAGAGACACCAGAGAGCTCTCTCATTCTTTCTCTTCCTGCTGTGTGAGGACACAGAGAAGGTAACCATCAGCAAGTCAGAAAGAGCCCTCACCAGAAACCACATCAGCCAGCACTTTGATCTTGAACTTCCCAGCCACCAGAACTGTGAGAAAATAAATTCCCGTGACATTTTGTTACAGCAGCCCCAGCCGACCAATGCAGACATTGTCTGCTAAAAGTAAACACACATCAACCCTATGATCCAGTGATTTGACTCAGGTATAAATCCAAAAGAAATGAGTCCAAATGTGCACCAAAAGACCTGAACAAGGATGTTCATAGCAGCAGTATTCATGATACTCTCAAACTGGCAATTGCCCAGGTGTCCATCAGCCATAAATATATAGGCAATACTGTATATTCATAAAATGGAAAATTACACAGTAATGAAAATTACAGCTACATGTAGCAGCATGGAGGAACTTTACAAATACGATGAGGAAAGACAGAAGCCAACATGAGAAAGCATACACCCTAGGATCCTATTTATATAAAATTCAGAATCAGGCAATAATGCTTTTTTTTTTTAATCTAGGGGCTGGTTATTTTGGTGCATTTGCTCTGAAAACTCACTAATCTGTACACTTACAATTGGCTACTTTCTGTACGTATGTTGCGTGTCAATAAAAAGTTTACATAAAAATAGTCATCTGTGAAAAATATCGCAGCATTGTAAGAATGAGGAATGAGCTGCTATACTGTGTGGTGTGGGGAGAGTGTGATCTGCTGACTTACAACTGACCAGTCAGTGATGTCACAGCAGCTTGGCCCCCATAAAGGACGAGCGGGTGGAGGTCACGGTGGACAGTTGCTGTAAGTCTCGGCACACACACATCGTGATAGCCTTCAGTTGTATGTTTAGGTGGGTAACCACTCTTTTAAACTCTGTTATAATTGTACAAATATACACATCTTCTATACCATCTTTTTAAAAAAAATCATCGTGCCCTTCTGGAGGTAAGATAAGTAAACTCTGAAAGCGTCAGAACAGGTCAGTCTGTGGCATCTGTGGAAAAATGGCTGTCTGTTGTACTCTATTGAATAAGCCATTTCTCTTGCTTCCTCTTGTTTCAGCATCCTCTTTGGATATCTGGAGCCTAGGCTATGACTGGCTAATTTTTCCTAGGATAAGTTATTTCCCTGGTAGCTTCCCCTCATTCTCCACCAGGAGAAGGTCCTAAGAGCTAGAAAAGTTCTCCTGGCTATAGATCTTGGCTTCAGCTGTGATCTACTAAAGGGCAGAGCCCAGAGGCCATGAAATGGCACTGTGAAGAGATTCTGAGATGTCAGGGAGCTTGGGGGGACCTTGGGTTCCCGCCTGCTAGGGAAGGGCATGGCTGCCAGAGCGAGGACTGAGATTTACCCATAGTTTCCCCAATAAGGCAAGCGTTCCTCTTTAGAAATTTATCCCTTTCCTTGCTCCCCACCCCAGGGGATCCAGGCATCCCAGCATCTGCTCCCCGCCCCCCACCTCCTTCCAGGCAAGGCAGGCATGACTCTCCTCTTCTACTCATGAGCATACTCTTACTGAAGAGCCCTGGAAGCCTCTGGGCCTACAGTAGCCACAACATGACTTTAGCTATCCTTCTCCACACTGGACATACATGTGTACACCCCCAACAGGAGCCTCTCTCAGGGAACTCACCTGCGGTGTCATCCCATGGCAGATGTACACAATGGGAACGTTCTCTGTGTCTGGACCCTGATCAAGACACAAATCGGTCTTCAGAGAGTTCTGCAGCTGGACACCAGAGGAAAGGTAGCCACACCAAGGAGAAAGGAACAGAGAAACAAATGCATTAAGTCAGGAGAAGCCAGCATTCCACTGAGACAAGTCCCATGTCCATAATCGCCCCACGGCCCCTTGAATACTCTGGAGAGCAATAACCACCAGCTTTTGCCTTGCATGAAGGTGCTGAGGGAAAACCAGCCTCCAGTGAAGGAGAAGCATTCTTCTTGTTGTTAAACTGTGACAGTCCAGGTAGAAATAAAAGATATTCACACATGCACAAGATGGTGCCAGGTTCTTTACCCTGTCTATTTCCATAGGGGTGGCACCACGGCTTTCAATAGTCCTTGGTTAGAAGTCTTTGCTCTGGAAGGTTGGGCAAAGTGGGCAATATGTTAGCTGCCTTCAGGCCTGAGATGTCCTCTGGGTCCTTTCTGCCTCCTGCAGATCCAACAGGGGCTGGCTTGGCCCCTGTGGTGCCCAGATGATGAATCTCCAGAGTGGAGGTCAGACAGGTGGATAAGGGGTCCAGGATGGGAGTAGGGGAAGAGAGAGGTATCTCTTATCCTCACCCACAGGCACATAGCAATCAATAGAACCAGTGCCTGGGTACCATGGACCAGTGTCTTACCATGTCTGGTAAGAAAGCCAATATTCAATGTTCCTTTCTGGCATATGTCTACTTCCAGTCCTGGAGAGGACAGGTTATGGTCCACATGGCCCTGCTCACCAGCTATAGCTAAGTAGACCATGGTGGGCACCAACATGCAGTTTAGAATGAGTTAATAATTCTATTTCTTTCTCTATTCTCCACCCTTCTCCTTCTGGAATGTAACCATCTCATCATCCTCTTTCTATGTCCTAGAACTCTAGATGAGAGAGTCAGTGTGGTCAATGGGTGGTGGCCACAAGAATTGTGAAGCCATTTAGATTGGGTATGGGGGATCTATCGGGCCATATGTAAGCTGAGAGGTCCAATGTGGCCAAGGAAGAAATGAAGCATGAGACAGGATTCTAGAAGTTCTGCCCCTGCTATGGCTTTAGTGGCTTCCAGGCTCGGGTGCCCATGTCCGGCTGCACTTTACTTCCTGTGCCCATTAGAGTTTGTGGTATCGTTAGCCACCTCAACTTGAGCTAGCTGATACATAGCTCTTGTTAGCAACCGAAGCACTCTGCTTAGAACAGAAGAGGGATGTTGGAATTCAGGGAAGACCAGGGCAATGAACCACACAGGTGGGGCATCTAGCCAAGGAGGCCAGAGACTGATGGCGGCTGAGCTTTCATGGTCTTGACAACTTGTGGCAGGAAGGCAATGGACCCAATTAGGGGTGCAAAATGCAACAACCAGAGGCACGTGTGTGCTCTGTGAATCCCCTGTTCTTGACAGGGGACAAGGAACAGAGTCAAATTCTTTTCTCTTGAGCTTCCTCTCCTCTACCAGGCAAAGGCATCTCAATCCCAAACTTGCAGTTTGGAAGTTCTGAAGAAATATAAATGTGTGCCAGCTCCCTAGGCAGAGGCTCCAGAAACATCTATGTAGCAAATCCTCGTTTATAAAAGAACTATTTGGCTTGCCTGTGTGAGGCAGCATACGTAAACACTCTCTGGACTTCTCCCACAGCCTACAGAGAGGTGGGTGTCACATCTAAAGCTGAGAACTGTAATCCATTAGTGAGACCCGCTAACAGCTGTCGCAAAGCAAAAGCAAAAGGTCCATGGAGCCCTGATGTCAGACTTGGCTTTCTGCTAGGTTCTCAAAGCCATCCCCTGGGTGAGGAGGTAGGTGGTGGCTTTTGATAAAGTGCCCCCAGCTCTGTGTCATTCCTCCCCCATTAAGCAGGTGGTCTGTTGATGCTGTTGGGAGAGACAGGCTGGGATGGAATCCTGGCTCCAGCTGTGTGGTCTTGGACAAAGAACATTTACTCCTTTTTGTCTGTTTTCTCCTCTCTAAAATAGGGATAATAATAGTGCCTACCTCACAGGGTTGTTATGAGGGTTAAATGAGACACTACCTATGAGTACATAGCATGGAGCCTGGTAAATAGCAAGTGTGCAATAATTGTTAGCTACTATTATTACGGCTATAACCTTCCTGAGAGCCATTCAGGGAAACTAGCTTTTATGGCTGCATCTATGTGCCAGCTACCATGTGAAGTGCTTTCCATGTGTTATCTCCCCTAATCCTCAGAGCAATGCAGCCAGGTAATATGATCTCTTTTAAGGGTGAGGAACAGTGGCATAGGAAGGTCTGCCTCACCTCGTCGTCTGTGATGCCATTTCCATTGCATGGGCCCTTCCCCATGTCACCTCTACTTTTGCCTTCATTTTGTCAGACGAAGTCCTCTTCTTCCTTCTGCTCTCAGCTTCTCTGTTGCTCTGGAAGTGTTTCCTGACCCACATCTGGGTGTAAGGTCATGGCCCCATGCTTCATCATCATCTCCATTTCTCTTACTGTAGCGCTTGGTGTGCTGTGTTCTTACTGCTTCTTCACGTGCCTTTCTCCCCTGTCTGAGCAGGCTGGGGCTATGTCTTTCTCATGGTCTGTGACACGGGCCAGTCCTGGCCCATAGCAGACAGTAAATCCATGTGGAATGAGTGAATGAGTGAAGAAAATGAACAAATGGATGGCATTCCCAAATGAACAACACTGGCAGGTGGACAAGTGTAAAGTTCTTTCCCTCATGCAGCTGGCGACAATCCTGAGACTGAAAACTGCCCCCTCAGATGGTGTAACTATAACTTTTAAGGTTTTATAACCTGCCAAGATCACACAGAGTAAGTGGCAAAGCTAACGTTCGGAAGCTGGGTGTGTCTGTTTCCAGATGCTGTTCCATCTTCGCTGTCCACACTAGAGCTGGGATGAATCCAAAGACCCCGCCTCTTGGACGTGGAGCTCCACCATCCGGGGGAAACCCGTTCCCACACAATGGGGCCCAGAGGCCCTTCTGCCTGTGGCAGTCATTAATGGGACCTGTGAGTGGATTAATGGGCTGGGTTATAGACTTGACCCAGGCCCCAGTGAGAGTTCCAGGAGGTTATTTGACCTGGGCAATGTAGTTTGGCGTAAGTTAGCACGGAAAAAGTAAGAAGAAGCTTTACCCCCAAGAAGACCTCTGGTCTCTGCGTTTCAGAATAAAAATAATCACCAGGAAGAATGATTCAGCCTCAGCAAATCCTCTTGTGGCTGCATCCTGCTTTGCCCATCTTCACCCTGTTGCCCCCATTAAGAGTTAATTATGCTCCTTGACAAGCCAGCGTGTCTCTACTCTGTCAGAGCCCAGGCTGTGGAGGAGCCAGAAGGGAGGGGAGGCTGGCTGGGCTCCCTGAGCAGGGGCTGGCAGATGAACATGTGGGGGTGGGGGTCAGAGACCTCTGCTAGCCCCAGGGATGGTTAGCACTGCTCAGTCCTTTTGGGATGATGAGAGAATGGCTTTTCAGCACACCAGAGTAAAAGCAGCTCTAAGGACTCAGATCCAGATCTCAACCCTGTATATGCCACTTACTATTTGATCCACGAAAGGTTTCTGGGTGTGGTGGTGAGGGCTACACGGTAAGTCTGCTGTACATTTCATTAAGATGAGACCCTTTTGCTTGGAAGACAAGAATGCTTTTGGTAAGGCCCAGTACTGCAATGGCCGTATACACAAACCTCCACTGTTGCTTTCCCACTGTAGTTAATACTGTTTGGCTGATACTGTTCAGCTATAGCTGACAGCTTGGTGAGAACATGAATCCAGAAGCTGGCCCTAGCTCACAGGGGTTTTGGGCCAATGGTTTCTCCAGAGCCACAGTAGCATAACCCTCCTTTTTGGATTGGGTCCAACCATGGCCAAGCATCATATACAACTTGCTATGGGCAGAGTGCAGGGGGACCAGTAACAGCTGTGTCCTCAATATGGCCCTAGGGAGATAGATGGGGTTGATAGGTACTTCATAGTCTGGTGTGTTTCCATGGGAACAAGAGGATGTGAAGCTTCAGGTGAGAAGTTTTCTGGCACCCAAATTACACCAGCCTGAGAAATGGAGACGCAAGGGGCCACTGAGTGATTTCCTCAGGACATGTCAACCATGCCATGGAAACTCTTATGGGAGGATCTGACTCCCTCCTATAGGTTGGTCTGCTGGACAACAAAAGTCTGATTGGGGGACAGGATTCCTGGGATCCTGGCTCTGTGTCTTATAGCATCCTAGGATGTCAGAGTTGGGAGGCCCACTGAGAACATGGAGGCCCATCCTCAGCAAGCATTTTCCTCTCACCCCAACCCAAGCAGATGCTATGCCCGTTATATTCCTGGCTGAGGCAGGCCTTCAACTCAGTTTTGACCACAGCTTATTGGAGGGGAGGTCACAGTTCTTCTGAGTTTCATCCTAGAATATCAAAAAGGTCTGCAGGGATTCTCTCCAAAGACAGGGAGCAGAGTGCTATCAGAAGCTGATGTTTTAGGGGGTGCCTGGGTGGCTCAGTCGGTTAAGCATCCGACTTCGGCTCAAGCCATGATCTCACCGTTTGTGAGTTCAAGCCCTGCTTTGGGCTCTGTGCTGACAGCTCAGGGCCTGGGGCCGGCGTTTGATTCTGTGTCTCCCCCTCTCTTGGCTCCTCCCCTGATCACACTCTGTCTCTGTCTCAAAATAAATAGAGATTAAAAAAAATTAAGAAAAAAAGATGATGTTTTAGACTCAGTTCTGTGTTAATGACCTATGTGAACATGGGAAGGTCACTTTGCCTTTTTGTCACCCCCCACCCTGGAACAAGGTGGTGAGAAATCTATGTAGTTTTGCGGGCTTGTAGCTGTCAGCAGAAAAGCTCTATGTGTTCAGGAATCAAAGACCAGATGAGATATCAAAAAAATCAATCAGGTATCATTGAAAACACTTTAAGAGTTGAATCGTCCTGGGAACATTGGGATAATGGTAGAATTTACCATATTAAAAGTATTTTAACCTTAGAAAATACAAATCGTCAGGATATATATTTATATAGCTGAGACATTTTTCTATTCTAGGAGTACAGCATTATTTTGCCCCATTTAACATAGGGAGAAACTGAGGCCCATAGATGTTAAGACACTTGACTGAGAAGCAGCTTGGTCAAGATTGGTTTGGATCCGAACCACATCTGTCTGCATCCAAACCCTGTGCTCTGCCCTCCATAAGGGTAACTGCTCTGTGCCAAACAACAGGGGGTTGGCACCTCCCCCCAAATACAGTGAACTCAAGAAGGTTGTGTTCCAGAACTCCTTTCCTAGAGGCTGTGCGTGTGAGTGGAAAGCATAAGCCCCTTCGGTGGGGGAGGCATACAGGCTGGTCACTAGAACCTCAGGCACCCGTTGCTTGGGGAACAGTGGGTGATTGGTACGTTACCTCGCAATCTTAACCTAACTGCAGGGTTTTGTTTTATTAAGTAGCACATGCAGGTTTGAGGCTAGAGCTAAATTGCTTGAGGCTCCAGAGGAGAGACTAAGCACCTCTCAAGGGAACAGAGAGGTTCTGTCTATGAAACCAAAAGCTGCCTTTTGCTCGCTGGTCTACCAGAGGTCCCGTGGAGTCAGGCTCTCCCCTGACTCTATACCTCTCTCTGGCCTTGCTCTCTGTGTCTGAGTGAACCCCAAGGGGCAGGTCCTTACCACTCCATAGGCAATGATGTCCGAGTACATCCTCATCTCCGGGTATACGCTGACCAGGTACCACCGGAAGGTCTTGCACTGCAGCTGTTTTCTCAGGGCCTTCCTTGCGGTGATGTCCCCAATGTCGATTCCAGAGTCCTGCGCGGGTGTGCAAATGCAGAGATACAGCCACCACCAGGACATGGCTTCTCCCCAGACCTCCCAGCCAACGTTCCTGGAGACTGCCTAGTGAAGGGAGGATGTGGGACCTTAACTCCTTCATTTCCCCACATGTCCTTAGCCCCATGACTGTCCCCATGTGGGCACTGAAACGTGAGGTCAGCACTGATGGGGACTGTCACCAAAAGCCTTTGAAAATAAATAGAACAAGGGGGGCCTGAGTGGTGCAGTCGGTTAAGTGTCTGACTTCAGCTCAGGTCATGATCTCACGGCTTGTGGGTTCGAGCCCCATGTCGGGCTCTGTGCTGACAGCTCAGAGCCTGGAGCCTGCTTCGGACTCTGTGTCTCCCTCTCTCTCTGCCCTTCCCCCGCTCATGCTCAGTCTCTCTCTCTGTCTGTCTCTCTCAAAAATAAATAAACATTAAAAAAAATAAATGGAACAAAAAAACCTGTGGTCTAGGTGTAGGTGGAAGGAGCTGGAGCACACAGTTGGAGTACAGGTTTTTCTACCTCATGCTAGAAGATGAGAAGTTCTGAGCTGTGGGGGGAAAGAGGGAGGGAGGGAGGGAAAAAGTGGAAGGTGGAATAGTACTAATTCAAATACTATTCCTAATAACTGCGGCAGAAAAGTCTTTGCAATGCTCGCAATGTGGTAGGTTCTGTCCTGCATGAAACCTGCACAGAAGTTTATATGCATGTATAGTGGCCCACTGAAACCTATAGGGTAGCACTGTTTTATAGATGAGTTGAGACAAAGAGAGGTTCAATGACCTCTTGCCCAAAGTCCTACAGCTGATAAATGGTGGAGCTGAGAGTTGCACCCAATCAACCCAGGTCAGGAGTTCGCATTTTTAACCTATGCTATGCATCTAGAAGAGCCTGCCCTCTGCCTCCTAAGACCAGGTCCTTGTGGGAGAAGCAGACCCTCTCTTAGCTTGGGGGTCTTCGTGTAGAGAGTAGTTGTGTCTCTCACTTCCCAGGTATATCAGAGTGGTGGCCTCTGAGCCATCAAGGTATAGCAGGCAAGAAGTGGTAATGGAGACATGGATGTGTCCTTGATTTAGAGAGAGGCCCACATATTCCTTGTGGTCTCAGAGCAAAGGGGAGAACACTGAGTCCCTGGGCCTGAACACCGGCCGTGGAACAGGGCACAGAATCAGCTGAGAAAGAGTTGATGTCACAGCAGAAGACGGTGAGGAGTCTCTCTAGCTGGGGATCAGGTGGAGACTCCGTGACATCTCAGAGGATGACACCACGGAGCCAGGGACCAGAGAGGGCACGTGGTATTTCATAAGCCCAGAGTAGGGAGAGAGGAAGACAGGGAAATAACAGCTCTCTCCCACTGGCACTGGCACTTGTGTGCTGGCTATGTGAACCTCCTGCTTCTAGCAACAGCTCTGGGGATCAAGTTACTGGGGTTGGGAAGATCATGAAATGAACAGAGTTTGAGTTTGAAATGTCTGAGAAAAATCACAAAGATGGCCGCTGCACGAATCTGCACGTGATCAGGAGAAGTATTTGGTATTCGACCATGGAGGCCTGAGTAACAAGAGAGTGTAGATACAGAAGAAATACATTTATTTTTCCCACCAGAATTTAGGTAACATAAAAATGTGAACCTACTGCAGCCTGAAGTTTAAGTTCTAGACTGCTAAGGGGCAATGTCTTCTGAGTACTTCTAGATGACCTCATCTATAATTTGCCTATTCCTCGGCTCCTGCCCAGAGAACTTTCCAGCAACTGCTACTTGGCCTTTCTCTGCTGGATCCAGGAAACATGTTGGACTAATCTCTGTGCCCCGGACCTACCGCTGAGCCTGGACTGTATTGATGAAAACTAGGTTGAGAAAATATTTATGAAGTATTACAGATAAAAGCTGGCAATAAATGTAACCTGCCACTCACCCCAGCCCCAGCCCCAGCCCCACCCCCACCCCCACCCCAAGGGATCTGTTAAGTATTAGCTCTTTAAACTTCTCTGCCCCTTATCCTGATATCACAAAGGTATTTGCTAGGACCCAGGCCTTCCCCTTCATGCTATCATCGCCTTTATCTGACAAATTAACACTGTGTCTCAGCATTTACAGGGGGCCACTGGAAGAATCTGTCTCTAGAAGGCCCCCGTGCTTTGCTAAAATTCTGGGTTCCCACAGGAAAACTTTCTTTTTACATTCAGGATCAAGGGAAAGTTGGTCTCTCTCCTTATCTAATCGAAGGTGGGAGAAATACCCATCAGAGGCTCATTTCTACTTCTAGAAGATCCAAGAATCAGAGCTTTGCTCTGCTTATATTTCTGGATATCATGCCCCATCCCCTTTCTGGATATCTGCCTTTCCATTTTAATGGTTCAGGACATCTGTACAGTGTATTTACTGTAAAATGCATCAAACTGTTTTCAGATTGGGGGAAGAAATTGAGAAATAAGCAAACTTTCTCAGAGAAGATCACCTTGACCCTTATTATTAGAAAACAATAAATGTATCACCCCCTTTGCCAAATACTTAGTGGATTGAATAGAGTCCCCTGTAAAACTCATGTCTACCCAGAACCTCCAAATGTGATCTTATTTGGCAATAGGATCATTGCAGACAGAATTCATTAGAGATCTGCAGATGAAATCATTCTGGATTTAGGGTAAGCTCTAAATGCAATGGCTAGTATCTTCATAAGAGATAGGAGGGGGGTGGCATTGAACACACAGAGTCATAGAGACAGAGGGAGAGACTGGAGTGGTGCATTTACGAGACGAGGAATATGCCAGGAGCCACCAAAAGCTGGAGAAGACGAAGTATCCTCCCCTAGAGCTTTTGGAGGGAGCACAGCACTGTCGTCACCTTGATTTGGGGCTTCTGGCCTCCAGAATTGTGAGAGAGTAATTTCTGTTGTTTAAAGCCACTCAATTTGTGGTAATTTGTGATGGTGGCCCTTGGAAACAAATACACCCAGCCCCACAAAAAGCTGGCCAGTATTCCCACCTGTGTGTGCAGCCACATACACAACATCTTGTAGCCAAACCTAGAGAAGGGACATCACTTGTGTGCCATGGTGAGTCATCCCTGGCACTCAACCTGTCTTTGGGCAAGAGAAGGTGGCGGGGCGGGGGGGTGGTGGGTGGGTGGGAGGTGGCTAGAGTTCCCTAACCTGGTGTAAGAGAATGTTGATGCTTTGCTGCAGGCTGACTTCCTGTATGTTGATAAACAAACTGACTTTCAATCAAAGTAGAAAGGATGCCAGAGCTGGCAGCTCCTCTGGCCATCCCAAAGCTTGGGACTGAACGTGGAAAGGAAGCAGGTCATAGAGCTGGCGGACCTGGCTGGTGCACGGCAGGGGGAGGACTTGGCATAGAAGGCGACCGGGCAGGATAAATGCCCTGCAAGGGCATTTGAAAGCTGGGGTGGGAATGCAGAAGGCAGAGGCAAGACCACCCACACCGAGAGGTAAGACTTATCTGGTGCTTTTTCTACTTGCCGAGCACCCATCAGAGCCTTTATGTACATGAACTTATTTAATTTTCAAGGCAGCCACTGGGCAGGGTTGTGGGGTCTGACTCTCTACCTGCAGCTGGGATGCTGGAGGCAAAAGGTTAAGTAAACAGGTAACAGATGTGCTGTGGTTGAGCAGAAGGTCTTGATACAGCACCACAGCAAGGGCAGCCGAGAAAACTCTTGGGGAAGGCACGCGGGGCATGTGGCATCCACACTTCCTCCCTCTTTCTTTTTCAGCTCATCTTAAAAAAATTTTTTTTAATGTTTATTTTTGACAGAAACAGAGCATGAGTGGGGGAGGGGCAGAGAGAGAGGGAGACACAGAATCCAAAGCAGGCTCCAGACTCTGAGCTGTCGGCACAGAGCCCGATGCGGGGCTCGAACTCCCAGACCGCGAGATCATGACCTGAGCTGAAGTTGGACGCTCAACCGACTGAGCCACCAAGGTACCCCTTCAGCTCATCTTTAGTACATGCCAGGTGCTGTCCTAAGCACTGTGCATCCAAAGAGGAAGAAGGCACAGACTGTGCTTGAAAGGAAGGCCCAGACAAGTAAACAGACTCTGTACACAGTGTGAAGCACAGAAGCAAACAGGGTGTTGAGGGAGAGCAGAAGAGGAAGGAGCCCTTAGTCCATCTCACTGTGTGGGGCAGCTAAGATGGTGGGGAGGGAAAGGCGAGCAATCAGAGAAGGCTTCCTGGAGGAGGTGACACTCAAGGTGAATTAAAGACTAGCAGGATTAGTTAATCTAGTATTACTCAAATCTGGCAGCCCCAAACCGGCACCCAGAGAGCTCTGAACAGGTTCTGGGACCACTACATAGCTACTCATCACAATCTCTGAGGATGAGACCCAGAATTAATCAGCTGGTCTGCAGATCTGCTTTTAGGAGCCACTGACTGAGGGAGAAAGGAATTACACACACTGCCAGCAGATCCATTTGTTAATAAGCATCGGCGAGGTTTCCCTGAGCTCTGATCATGTGCCCTGGCTTGCGCTAGGCATGGTGACACAAAAATGAAGGATACAATCTGTCCCCAGGAAGCCTGTGGTCTAATGCAGTGGCTCTCAGCCTGGATGGATATTAGAATCCCTGAAGAGCTTTCCAAAAAATGATCCCTGGTCCCCTTCCAAACCAATTAAGTCATAATCTCTGGGGCTGGAGCACAAGGGATTTTAATGTTCAGCCAGATTTGAGAGCCCCTGGGGGGGGGGG